GCGGGGAGTGAGCGCTTCCCTGCCAAGCTCAGTCACCTGCTCACACTTCTTTCCTCCCGCCGGGCACCTGGAGTGACAGGTGGGCACACCCTGGACACGCAGCCGTCTGACGTGAGATGAATCCTGCTCCGTCACCAGCCCGGGAGCCGTCACGCGCACACAGCTCAGGGGAATTTAACTCACACTTTTGATCCTTACAGGGATCTTACTTTAAAAAGTATGTCTAATGTTACTAGACACCTTTCCAAGAGGAGGAGCTGAAGTTCAGAAGAGTTCAGGGATTTGGCCGTTGTCAAAGTCCCAGCAAGTCCCGACGGCTGGGAGGCGAGACCAGCCTGGCACGGCAGCTGGAATCTCCCAAGTGGAAGCAAGCCCCCCAGTCTGAGCACCACGCACAACGGTAAAGACCGAGCCAGGCGCGGCGCTGTGAAACTGGGAACCTTGAGCAAGTTAACCACGGCACTGGCAGGGACCTCCGCAGTCCAGGCGTCTGGACGCTGTGGCCCCGTCCCCATGGCCGAGGCCGCCCTGAGCTCCTTCCTGGCCTGGACGCCGCCCGCCCGTCGCCGGCTGGGTCCCTTGCTCCAGGCCCAGGTCCTCTTGTCCACCTCCCTGGCCGGTCCACCCTCAAGGCCACAGACGGAGCCACGTGCTGGACACTCAAGCCAGGCCCCGCCTGTCCCGAGCAGCCCAAGTGACCATGCAATTCCCTCGGGAAGAGCTGGAGCCTTGGCAGGGTCTGGGGTCCACAGGGCCCCCCCTGCCCCCACACACGCCCACCCCAGGCGTTCCCACGGCTTGCCTGCCCGAGAGGCCCCGGATCCCTGCTCCCACCTCCACCTCTCCAGATTTGCATCACATGGGAGCACCTGTCAGTCAGAAGTCAGAAGGGCCACGCCAGCCCGGCTGGCTTCACTCCTCTCCACACTCGTCCCAGCACACTGGGTTTGCTGCCTGAACGCCATCTCCTCCACTAGGTTACAAGCTCGGCTGAACCGCCTGGCGCCGGACGTTCAGTAACGGGCTACGTGCACCCAGGAACAGGTGCACGGCCCAACACCTGCACAGCCCACACCTGCTCAGCCCGGCACACACGTTCAGGGCCCTCCTGCTGGCAGCAGGTCACATGTGTGCCCACATGAGTCCGGCCCTCGAATCTGCGAGGGGACAGACCCAACTCACCCTCCTCACAGCCCTGAAACCAGGGCGCAGTTCACGGAAGTCACATGTTCATTTTGGACAAAGTCTGTCACACAGGTAACACACCCTGTTGGGGAAATATGACTGAGGAATTAATGAAATGTGGCTCATAAGGTCATTATTCTATTGCTTAGCCCGGTATTGCGATGTCAAAGACAGAAACAGGAGTTTGCAGGGTTTTGCCCTGAAGGAATGTGTGGACTCAGTGTTTCACTTACTAGAGGCTGCTATCATGGGAGAGCTCTCAAATCTCCAGTAGGGATGTTTCCCAGGAAGGCTTCCCTGTATCTCAAAATCTGTGAGCTTCCCTGTGTCTTGAAAGACAAGACAAGGCAAACATGGCCCACAGGATGGGAGCCGGAGACAATGAGTGCACTTTGCCCAGAGATGCGCCCTGGTGGTTATAAACAACCTGTTTATTAGAGGTGGGCTTCCTGCTCTCTCCTGT